GCCCATAGTGAGTTTAGAATAACCTATTATTTGTCATTTCTAGTTTCAAACAGATAGATAAGGATTCAAGTGTGGAAAGACCTGTTGATGACACCACCAAGTGCTGCTGGAATGAGAACATCACAATCTTCAGTTAGTAATGAGTTGGAATCAATTGCATCACCACCACTGAAACCTTTGATACCACGATTTTTGACAGAATACTTAAGTAAGTTCTCTATGTCTAGACCATTGCTGTGCTTAATTGCTCCTGTGACATCGCTGACTGCAACAACTTTTCCACCAGCTTTGGTGATAAGTTGAGCTGCCCAAGAACCAACATTGCCAAACCCCTGAATTACAATAAAAATCAAGGGGTGGAAAATGAAATGAAAAAGTAGGCAAAACTTATCACATTCTAATAGCAACCTTGTAGATCAGCTAGAAAAATGAGTGTCTTACTTAACAAAGGACATTCTAGCAGTCTCATTCCTTCGTGCAGTAAAAGAAAGATCAATGAGTCTTAAGCATATAAACCTGGATTACAAATCGTTGGCCTGAAATGCCCTTTCCGTATTCTGCCAGCAGCGCTTCTGTTGCAAAAAGGACTCCCCTTCCAGTAGCTGCATCTCTACCCAAAGATCCACCCAGATCCTTCAAGGAAAAAATTATATATATATTTGAGTGGTCGAGACAGGAACACTAATCTTCAATACATACATATGTGGAGAAAAGGAACAAACAGTATGAAGGCTGTTAAGAGGAATGCTAGTTTGGAAACATAAAATAGGATATGTCAAAGTTTCATTTATAGTACAAACGACCAAATCACATGGGTTTATGTTTTCTTATCAGTGAATCAAATAGATAATGGACGTCAGAAGATAGCAAATCTTTTACTTTACTGTCTAGATTATTGAAGCCCGGCAATGAAAGGTGCATGGGTTTCAAAGTGTCCACAGAATCAGTAATTTGTATGCTCCTCATAAATCTAAAGATTTTTATTTTTAACCATCCATTTTGTGTCTATACTTAAAATTATGTGACTTTTGGTTTTCGAACACACTAAATTATATATAGATCAATTTGAACGGAGCTAATTTATATTTAAGTAGCGTGTGGTTGGACGTAAATGAGAAGGATTCAACTATGAGTCCTTCAGAAAGCAGCCATTCGTATAGGGCAGTGCTTTACAGCTCCCTAAGGACAAAATTCAGCTTGTACCTGCCTATTGAGCTACATGGTGACAAACCCCTAAGGTGTTCCGCATTGTGTGGATAAAAAATTACATGCATTGAAGGTTTCTAACTCAAATGTTGACTTTCTCTATATTAACCATGAATTCATTTTTCACATCAATCTTTCACATCATTGGATAAAATCTTCCAAACACATCTAACTTTATCCGCATACCTTTTGTGATATGCATATCAAGGGAGTCCAACAGAAGTGGTCCTTCATGTAGCCTGGCAGGTGGGAAAACATTTGTTTGTTTCTATGGCACTATGAACTGACACTTGTATGTCGGTGAGCGTGTGTAAAAAGAGCGAAAGAGAAAGAAAGAGTTGAATTCAAGTTGCTATGTTTATAAACTCTTCAATACTTCCAAGTCCGAACACCAGGACTGTATGGATAAGCATGCATAGGATACTAGCTAGGATTTCCTTTGTCAATATGCAAATACTTTTCTTATTTCAGAATTTCCTCTGCTAGTAATTCTGGACATCCCAATGTTGTGATTTCACTTTGGGGAAATGGCTCCAAGAATACTGAAAATAAGTGATATTGACAGAAACATTTGCAACTTACTAACCTCCATAATGCTTCAGATGCTACTTTTTGGCCTGCCTATACTTGTTATGTGCCAAAAAGCAACATATTAGGATCATCTTGGAGTCCATAATTAATTTTCATCAACATTATTAATAGGGATAAATCATGTTGTATAAACTTATTTCACAGAGTATAAATAACACTTCTGCAACGTATTGTACTTACAACAGGTTTTCCAGTTACAATTGCAGGAGAGTAGCCGTGGAATTTTGAGTACTCATCAAGTATCCATGCCATTGTCTGTTCCATTTGCAGATAACATGAATTAAGCTCTTACTAAATGATAACGAAAATGTATGCTTTCAATAGCCATAGACATTTAATGAAGAAAGGAAAAATCAAATTAGCAAAATAATAACCTGTGCATTGGTTCCCATATCCGGTGCTGGAACATCAGTGTGAACCCCAATGAGATCATGTATCTTTTGTGTAAAAACTCGGGTGAGCCTTTCAAGCTCAGATAAGCTCAAGTCTCCTGGGCTACATCCAATACCCCCTTTAGCTCCTCCATATGGAATGTTTGCTACAGCTGTCTTCCATGTCATTAATTGTGCTAAGGCATTTACCTCATCTGGATCAACCTGCATTTCATCAATCCTATTCAGAAGTTTTCTCTCATTTATTAAACTAGTGTGCGCCCTGTACAAAGCACGGCTTCTTGTTTTTTAAGCATCGCATTTTGAACTTGTCTTCCTCTAAGTTTTAATACATTTGATTTAATTATTATTCGCTCAAAATTAGAAATTATATACACTCCTATATACTAAAAGAAGGATCTAAGTTTTAATACATTTGATTTAAAAATCATATCTACTCCTCTATACTTGAAGGAGAATCCACATTTAATACATTTAAATTGTTTTACTATTTATAATACAGTAAATTATGGTAGAATAAATAGTAGCTTTAAGTATAAAGGCTCAGATCATGAACAGCATTTCCGAGTAAGTGCAAAATTCGATTCACTGTACATACCGATTGACTGTATTGTTTACTGTAGCATGAACAGTGATTCTTTAGATCCTCCTGTAAATATAGAAGAATAGAAGACTGGAATCGTAACTGAGGTTTTCTTTTTCTTTTTTTTGCGTTAGCCTTTATATTTGCCCTTTTGCCTCGTATGCATAATTCGTACAAGAGACGTTATGCATGATACTGAATCGTTGCAATAAGTAATCATATAGAATGAGACTGCGGATTAATACACATGGAAGAGGAATAAGATCAAAAATACGAGAAGATATGACATTATCCATAAAAGTAATTCATCGAGTTACGTGCTCAAGACACCGGAGGACTATTGCACAATGACACACAAGTGCTCAAGATAAAAATAAGGCTTGAACAGGCTAGAAGGTAAAGGTAATCAAGAAAAGTGTCGAAGTCATCCTCAAACGAGATTATGCGCAAGTAGTACAACTTAGCAACTATTCCACAGCATTGGCTTTTCAACAAACAGGAGGATTAGCAAGTTGCAACGCTCTTGAAAAACTAAAATGGCAGATAAAGTAAGAAAATTATTGAACATTACGTTTTTATAGTGATTATTTGACACCTACTGGTAATGGAACTTCAATGGTATTAAAATCAAAGGAACAAGCTATTTCAGCAGAATAAACAGCAAAGTAATCAAGTGAAGCATGGATAACAGTATTTATCACTGCTGGAGCTGAGGGTTTAGATTGCAGGTTGCAACCGCCACTTGGATTTTTGCTTAGTTGAAAAATGACCTTAGGAGAATAAGAGCTAACTTGTCATAGCTTGACTTCAGATCTTAGTTTGTGAGTTGTGATGAAATTCTGCTAAAACCAGGGACAAAGTTCTGTCATTAGAATGATCCTTCTACTGAAGTTTGCAAATCTTTCTAGGAAAAACTCCAAAGCTAAGCTTTGGGATAAGTATCCACCTCAATTTATATGTATGATAAGCATGATCATGTTTGTTTTGATTCTTTTAGTTTATAACATAGACGTTGCTTTATTTGTTATTCTACTCATAGGGTTCTTCCCATAAAACATCCGTAAGTATCCACGAAACTAAATGCTAGAAGGAAAAATGTATAATTGTGTTATAAAACCTGTATCACAGCCCATGCCTATCAGATTATGATAAACAAAACTCCTGCCAAATAGCCAGGTGAATAATTACCGACATATAGTGATCACAGTGAACCAAGCCGGGATGTGAAACCCTAGTAGCCTGATTTTTTCAACCTCCACTAACCTTGGGCAAAAAGTAAGCTTTTTTTATCTAGGTTTAAGTTTGTAAGTTGAGCCTAATAAAGTACCTGCATGAGGGATAGGTCCAGCACTTGTGGATCAATCTTTTATAAGCATTCAAGCTCCTTAGTTCTAACCTCTGACCGGCCTAGTACATATTTAACCCAACTGAAATGGTTACGCTGCTGCCAGTGGAATCCTTATAACTTATCCGTCTCAAAAGAGAAATTAGCTTTCCACTGAAATTACAGTTACTGTTGGCAAGGTCTGCTGTTACGTGATCCTTCACATGTTTTAACCAACAAAAACTAAAATATAATGCGGCGTGTATATGAAACTAAATTAAAACCAAACACATGTGTTTCTCAGATTTTATTTCTGAATTTAGTAAACCATGGTAAGAAACATATAAAGGATATAAACACTCTCTCCCAAAAATAACATTCAGAAATCTCAATTTATGCAACCATCGTACACGCAAATAACTCCGAGCATGCTACCATATGGCCATATATGAATTCATGAGTATGCTTCTAGAATTATCTGGGTTGATTAATATCTGGAATTGATCTAGAAACAACGTCATGCATCCTTATCATGTTGCAAGGCCAGGTCAGAAATGATACGATCATTGAATGGTAAGATTAGTTATGTTTCAGGATAAAGCAGAAAGAACAGAATCATGAGCAAACCTCAGAGTGGTATCTAATTCCTCCCTTCATAGGGCCTCTAGCATTGTCGTGCTGCACCCTAAATCCAACAAATGATGCCAAAGTACCATCATCTTTGGGAATTGTACACTCAACCTGCATTTAAAATTCATTTGGTGTTACCAAAATATGGGACAAGGGCAATATTTCATATCAAATGATGTATTGCAGAACATTTCAATTATCACACTAGTTAAAAAGTCAACCGTAAAACTACGTGAATTGAGAAGGATAAGTATCAACTAATCAGAGGTCTGAAAAAATGACCATAAAACATCTCTTAACTTCATAATTGGAGCTTACTGAACCCAAAAGCTAGCCAAACAACCAATTTACTAATTAACCATTTCAAAAGGTCTGTATGAATCAGAAATATCTAACAGAATTTAACAATGATGTAGCTAGGGGTGGAAAAGAATCAAATAATTAATAAATAGTTCGATAATTGTTGAAATAACTATTCGGTCATATTTGATTCAGTAGTTCATTTACCACTAAACAAATATTTTTTAGTATTCGAGTTTATTAACGAATAGAATTTAACCAGATGTATATTCAATTCGTTTGTCTATTAAATATTCGTTTAAAATTTGATCACAGCTTATTATTTATATTATTCCACATATAATGTCATATTTTTAACTCATTTATCATTTCTACTTAAGTTTTATATACTGATTTTAAGACTTAAAAAATATTAAATATGTTTTCTAATTAAAATTTTGATTCAAATATAAATCATCATATATTATAAAGGAATAACTTTTATTTATGTATTTTAATATTATTTGAAAATTAATTGTTTAGCGGAATAAATATAATTTGATATTTGATAAGTATTCGTGAATATTCATGAATATTTATCAAATACCAAGTTTTCGAGTTCAAATTCGAAAAAAAACTAGATATATGAATATTAGAGTCCGCATTCGAAGTCAATAATCTATTCCTTTATACAAATAGGAGGATCAGAGAATTCATGTTCATGCTACAGTAAATTGAACAGTAATTCTCTCCCCTCCCATTTGCATAGATATCCGATCAGTTTTCAAAATTCAAAACCCCCTTCTCAGGCTTCTCACCCCGATCCAGAGACAAAAAAAAAAGCAAAAAAAGAAAAAAAAAACCCTCGCTCCATATGAGCTCCCCCCTCTTCCGCATTGATTCCGCTGTCTCCTATCCTCCTCCCCTCCCTCCGCCGCCTTCTCCGGCGGTGGCGCCATCTTCGAGCTCGACATCTTCTCAACCGACACAGATCCAAACCCTAACCCTAACCCTAGCCCAAGCTCAAGCCCTAGCACCTCTATCCACCACCATTCCCCTCTAAACCCTAGCCTAACTCCAGCACGAGCAGATCGCCGCTCTCGCCGTTCCATCGGGAGCGCAACTTTGGCATCCTCGCCGCTTTGCCGGAGGATTCCAAGGCCAGAAGCCCTAACCCTAAGTTCCTCCAGCTGCTCGCTCTCCCCCCTCTCTCGAAATCCCCAGCTGCTCGCTCTCTCGCCTCCCCAATCGAGCCGAGGATGAAGAGATGAAGCGAGGAGGAGCTCGAGGGCTCAGCGCCCGAGCAACGGAGGCGGAGGAAACGACGAGCTCAACCCTCTTCTCTCCTTGCTCATCCTTCCGCATTCGCTGCGACAGACACGTCGCTATGAGTTGGGTTTCGTCGCTATTTTTCCATCTCAGTGTTTGGTGAATTCCCTGAACGACCCATTTTTGGAATTTTGCAGATTTTGATCCAATTTTGTGCAGATTTTGATCCAATTTTGGTGGGAGATGAAACTGTCACTGTCATATTCTGTAAGTGTTTTCCTTCTCTCTTTTGTTAAAAATGAATTTATTGGGAGAATGTTGGAAAATGTTTTAAGCTTAATGATTAAAGTAAAAAAAATCCGTTTTTGGGACTTTAAGAACTGATGTTAGTAATTTTTGATATTCAATTTGTTCATTTTGATGCAATTATAACTCAAAAGAATATGATCAAAGACTATATTATGATTAGGAAAGAGTAAAAAAACTTCAAATCAGTTCAGAGAAAATTTATTAGTTCCAGAAAAATTACTTTATTTACCAGTCTATTTGATTTGTGGGTTTTGTCATTTTAACCTATTTATTTTATTTCCAATTGAACTGTTAAAAAAAATCTGATGGAACTTTAAATTATTACTCCAAACCAAATGATGAGTTTTCTTTCATTTTTAATTTATTAGTTATTAGTTATACCCTCTCTCATTTTTATTTAAAATGTGATGGGTTTAGAACATGTTAGAGGATATATATTGAAGAATTAATTAATATTAGCTACTTATTTTTGTTGTAACTGCTGAAAATAACCATCTTTCCGGATATGATACGGCACAAAGCATTAATTATATCACTCCTATATCATTCATAGATCCAACAATCTATTTATATATTTATGTATCTATATGATGTAATGAATTCTAATTGTACCCACTTTTAAAGATTTCATTTTGTTGATTAGTATCATTTGTTTATTATGTAAATGATTAGAGTCATTTATTTTCTTAGTATTAGAGATGATTGCTGTCATTTTTTAGTAGACCATGCATCATTTTTTATTAAATATGAAGAGTTTCGTGGGCTAACTATTTAATTATTTGGTGAAAGTTGAGGAGGGACATGGGCTTATGTTGAATTGATAGGCAATGGTTTGCAGGAGGAGGAAGTGTTATTACTCTATATTTCCCTTTCTCGAGGTTTGCTTGATTTATGTTTTAATGCAAGTTACTTCATATAACTTAAATTTCAAGCTAATACAAAGGTTTGATCTTGATCTGAGATCTTCATTATTTTACTTTTGATTTGATATGCTAACTGTGAATTATGTTATGTTAAAATTGTGCAAATATATGAAATTGTGAATGTGGTTGAAGTTGAATTTCTAGCTGATTTTATCATGAATTTGTAGCTGATTTTATCATTTGTACCAACTATTATTTGCCTTCACCTAAAAGAGTTATTAATGTGCTGTGGAGTACCTCGAGATGCATGAAACCACTTGGTTGAGTTGTTGGTTAGGTGGTTATAAGTAAAGGTTAGCCTTGAGCTCATACTAATTAGACTCTTAAGTGATTCAGTTTCTGCCACAATGAAGTTTATGAAGCTTGGGTGCTTGGGTCAAAGCCTGATTCTTTTCAGGATGACGACGACGGCGTAAGGTGAGATTTTTTATTAAGAATTTTTAATTTTTTTCCCTTGGTTCTTTATTAAGAATTTATTGGGAGAATGTTGGGAAATGTTTGAAAGTTAATGATCACAAGTAAAAAGCGATTGAGGGACTTTAAGAACCATATTAATTTCTGATATTTAATTTTTTTCATTTTGATGCAAATGTGACTCAAGAGAATATGATCGAAAACTATATTTTGGTTAGTGAAGGGTTAAAAAAGTGTAAATTAAACTTGGTGCAACTTGAAGAATGTGTAAAAGATTCATTTTGATGGAAACCTTCAATTTCAGATTGTATTTTGATGGAAACCTTCAATTTCAGATTGTATTTTGATGGAAATATTATTACTCCATGAATTATTTAATTTACGTGCCTATATGATTATTGAGTTTTACTATTTTAATTTCTTTGTTTTTTCCAAATTGAATTCTAAAAATCTGATGGAACTGTAGATTTTGAATCCAAAATAAACAATGGGTTATCTTTCCTTTTTGAATTTACTAATTAAATTCTCTCATTTCATTTAAAATTTGATGGGTTAACTTGCTCTTAATGCGAACTGTAGATTTTGAATCCAAAATAAACAATGGGTTATCTTTCCTTTTTGAATTTACTAATTAAATTCTCTCATTTCATTTAAAATTTGATGGGTTAACTTGCTCTTAATGCCTCGAAATGCAACTTTTTTTGGCAAATGACAATCATGACATATTCTTGAATTACTTTACCTTGTGATTATGAAGCGACAATGGATTGAAAGGTGCTCACATTCTTCATCCTTCATGTTTAGGTTGAAGTTGTGTCTTTTGTAGTCTTTTTCTTCAATAATTCAATGTTTGATTTGATTTGATTCAAGGGTTATAGAGATGGTATGTCAGATTAAATATGGAGAGTGATGGTGAGGAGCAGTTGTTGATCCATTTACTCAACTTACGCTGCACTTAGATTGTTATCAAAGGGCCAGAAGGGGAAGGTACACTTGAATCTCTTAAATGGAATTATGTTTCTGCTGACATTGTAATTAACATACAATAAGCCCTACCAACATGAATTTTTTGCCCAGTTTTTGTTGTAGTTTTTGTTAAAATTCTAAGTATTACTTTAGTTTTTTGGTTTTTTTAATATTAATCCTTAAGATCTTTAATTTTTGAAATTAGTCATTCAAAAATTTGTAATTGCTATCAGGTCCCCACTTTCTTAGGAACTAATATTGGAATAAGCGTTTAGTTCTTTATATCTGAAGAAGAAACTTAATACAGCTTAAAAACAGAGGGATCTAACAGTAATTTTAGTGATTTGCAAGACTATATTTCAAAATATTAAAGATTCTAGGGACTAATATAGAAAAAATCTTTAAGTTTTCAGATCTCTTTGATGCTTCTATGTTTCTTCTTATCTTTAAATTTTCCTATTCTTGATTTTACTTCTTTAAGAGAATTTAGTTTGATTTTTGGAGCTGGATGTTAGGAAGATTTGAGCATTCCCAAAAAATTAATAGATTTTAGTTTGACTTTGAGTGTCATTCTTAAAAAAAACTTTCTTTTTTTTGGGTGGAAGAAAAATCTTACCGCTATGTTTGATCAGGTGGCGCTATTGTCGAAAGTTTGTATCTTGGTTGTTTTCTCTGGGCTTTGTGATGATTTTTTAAATCTTACAGGTTGATTTTTTTTTTTAATTTTTTTAGACTCGAAGGTTTTGTTGAGGGGAAATAAACCTAATGTTAAATGTTTCTTCCCAAGTGGTTCTTACAGATTGATGTTAACCAATCACAATTCATTATATTTTATTTACTAATTGGTTGTTACAGTTTGTACATTCAGTTACTAAGTAGCTATGTGAGTTAGTGATTGAGAGATAACTGTTGGAATTGTATCTAAGTTTTCTTCTGAAATCTGTAATAATATTAGTAGTGCTTCTAGCTTTTTAGGAACTATGAAATGCTACTTCTCACGTAAATGTTGCCACTGCAACTCAAAATTTGTGTTATAAATTAGTATAATTGTGAAGACTGTAATGTGAATATAATTTGCCATTCTTTCTCTTATTTACTATAAGAATTGTATAACTATTCTCTGTAATAAATTTCAAAGTATGTCTTTTATAGTAACCAGTCTTTTATTTTCAGATTTGTTGATTGACCTTCACAAATTGCTCACAATTCTCTATCTCAAGATTTCCTCTTTGAAAAGAAGAAAACTGCAGGTATTTTCTCTGATTTCATTTTGTTAGGGTTTTTTTGCATAAGAAGTACTTTTTTAAGTTAGTTTCTAGAGGAATTGATTGAAATATAAATCATGGTGATGAATTTGATCTAAATTCTAATCTTTTGCACCTTAGATTGCTGGTTTTTGGATTATTTAGTTACTTCTTTTAGCATAGTGAAGACGCTAATTTCTATTTATAATGATTAAATTTGATTTAGCTAATCTTAATAGTGCCTAATTCTGATCATATCCCAACCCTCATGTTTAAACTTGATTTAGGTAATCTTTTTTGATTTTTTTAATGAAGATTTTGTTGCTAAGTTTTAATGGGTTTTGTTTGTTTGTGGGTTAGGGATTGGAGATTGATTACGTCAGAGATGATGATGGATGGATCGAATCGGAGGGTCAACTCGGTTCATAACAGTTATGAAACAGTAATTTTATTTCACTTTTCAATTATAAAAGTTAAATAAATATTTTCACACATTTATGCACTGAAAAGATTGACCTTTATTGTGCTATTTCGGTTTCAGTTTTGAGTAGTTATTTGATCTTTAAAATTTTGGTTAATGATGCTAAGGATGGTATAACCATGAAGATAAAAGCTAAAGTTTCTAAATTTCTTCAATGATTGGTTGTCACTCAAGTGACTGACTCATGGATATATGTTATATTGAATGTAGAGTTTTGTTGCTGTATTGTTTTACTAGGCCATTATATGTGAGTTGTTAGAGTAGTATTGTTATATTTGCACTATACAATATTATTAGGCATCTATTTTTCAAATGCAACTCATTTGAAGTTCTTCATAGTTGCTGGCTGTAAGAATCAGTTTGTATAAAAATAAAATTGAGATCAAACAACATTAAGGAATTGTGACTTAATTACATGTAAATGCAACATAATGCTCTATCCCTTATCTCACGAATTTAATCAATTTACTACTTATAGTTGAACCCTCAAATAATATTTTTGTTATTTTTCGAAGGTGTTTTCCCTTTCAAAATTGGTTATAATTGAACCCTTTTATTCATTCTATTTTACCCTTTTAAAACTAAGAGGAGGGGTGTTTCAAGTGCAATGGTAGAAAAGAGGCGAGGGCCGTGCTTGGCACGGGGTATATACTAGTTTTAAACAAATACAAATACGAACACTTTAGTATTCAATTCGATTTGATCGTTTACCACCCCTAGATGTAGCATCTCATGCACCAAGCAGAAAGAAAAACTTTAGCCACTTAACCAGCATCAAACCGATTGGATCAATTACAATATTGTTCGCACGCCTATTAATCAATGTCTGGAAAGTGCAACATTTTAAAAATCTAAAGGCTTCTGAAAATGTTGTGGAATCCATAACCAAGCATTTATATGAGCATTTAAGCTACCATACAAGGTTGATAGAGGCTAAATGACCTGATTAATGCATGAACTTCAGAAAATGTACTTCCAAAATAATGTTTTAGGGACAAAAGTGATTGAATCACCTTGATCTCCCTGAATGGGATGAGTAAGCTCTTTTCCAGCTTAGAGTCCAATCCCAACAGCTTAGCTGCCTGCTTGAAGTTCCTACTGGTGGCCGCTAGTGCATTCATAGTTCCTCTTCAGAGCCTGATCACTTGAAAAACACAAACAATACACAACAGAACTCCAATAAGCTGAAAAAATGATCCAATTTAAGAACTACTTCTACCACAGCCTTTAACAAATTTTGAGGGCATGACTTACCTACCCACAAGGGCGGAAAATAAATTGCTGCTGCAATCTCGACTTTAATGCAAAGAAAAACCTATGAACAGGAGGAAGTTGGTTATGGGACTTTCACTTGAAATAAATAGGAGAGATGCCAAGAAAGGGGGAGGAAGCTCACAAAAATAAAGCAGGAAATTCTGGTAAGGCTAATGCCAATGCATCACATGTTGATCTTTTTAGAAATTAATACATAACAGAAGATTGGCACATCTATCCTACAATTAAATATTTATTAGTCAATATAGCCTGATAACAAAGACAAAATCAGGGTGTGGTCACCTCCAGTGACCTTGAGGTATCACTTACCTCATACAGTCTGGATTAAGTGAAAGATGGCAGACCAAGATTGAAGTAGTTAAAGAGGTGAGCTTATCAAAGGTTGATAATGGATAAATGGGTCCACCATTTAGATTAGAGAAAAAAAATTTGCCAACCTATTTTTAAAGAGAGAGAAGGAAATTTTTTTTAAGAGGATAAAAAGTATTTTTGAGGTGGTGTAACAGTAAGGAATGATGGATATGAGGTAGAAGCTCAATTTGTCAAATGAATTACCAAGAGATAAGAGTGGAGAGATCCACACATATTGATGGGACTAGCAAGGTGGGCATCACCACATGGCTATTTATTGGTAGTTCGTTTAGTAAATGAGCTGTCACTTCATGCCCATTATTTCCGTGATATAAATATTTTCAAGGGATGAATACAGTCACTAGTAGGGACGCTAAATCAAAATTTACCTTCATCTTATTGCAGGTTGACAAAGATATTTGGCTCTATCCAAAATCACCTAATCTAACAGTGTATAAAGAATCAGATCCTTTGGTGTGCAGCACATGCAATGCAAGTAACTTATATATTGAAAGTTCGGTATTCATTCACCTTTAGAAAAGCAAGACAAAGTTGCCAACATGTACGTAAAACATAAAACAAAAGACGCAAACAATGTTTGTAGACATTTCTCCCTGGATGAGGGTCATGTGCTTTATTTAAACACACTAACTACAACAAAAATAAAAGACTAATCAATTTCTGTAGGTAGGTTCTAAATTCCTCCTGCACTTTCAGCTTTGCAATGGACCACCTTCTCCTCATCTATGAGTTTCATAATGACGGAGATTTAATACTACGTAGTTCTTGATTGATGAAGTTTATTTAAGAGATAAGGGTTATAAAATAGATGTAATCTTAGTAATTAATACAAATTTAGAATCTTTCATGGGAAATGGTGGCCACTTTAATAAGAATCGCTATGCACCGCCTAAATCATAAGAAATAACACTACAGGCACACCCTTCCACCACACCTTGGGGCACACCCCTCTCACAGTTACAGTGCACGGGCCCACTTTAGATTTTTTTAAAAATCTAAAGTGGGCCCCGTGCACTGTAGCTGTGAGAGGGGTGTGCCCCAAGGTGTGGTGGAAGGGTGTGCCTGTAGTACCACTCAATCATAAGGACCTTCAGCCCAAAACATACTTTGTAAATCCCAGCAGTAGTAACACTCCCAAATATGACTCTCTCTCTCTCTCTCTCAAAATCTTCTACCAGGACCACATCCTCTCACTATCATCGTCCTTACTATACTCACCTAAAATCACAGCCAAAATTATTCAAGAACGCGCTTTTTCATAGGCACTGTTATTAAGCTATTTTCATGGGCACTGTTATTAAGCTATTTTCTATAAATTGAAGTCCAACCAAACAAAAGAAAAAGAAAATAACATATTTTCTATAAAGTTAGAAACTTTTCCGTACTTTGAACCAAACAAAGAAATAATCAAAACAAAAAAATATGGTACTCTTTTGAGTTCTATAAATTTTTCCTACAAATTTTATAGAAATACAAGAAAATTAAATTTTGAATACTTTTCTTTTTTCTCTTTTTTATAGAAATTGAACCAAACAGCCCAAAATTTGGTCTACGTAGATCAGCACATGCCCAAAATAAAGTTTAAAAAGAAATTGTGGGGTCCATTTCTGCTGCAGATCACATTATCACGAATAATTCTAAGCAAATGTCAGTATTAAAGTAAAAACCAAGCACTAAACAATCCCCAAGTGGACATGGAGACACGTCAGCAACGATCAAAACAAGGGTTTCAGAAATTGAAAATTACCTGATCTCAGCAGCTACCTCCACCGATCTCGAACCCTAAAAATCCAAATTAATCAAAAAATAACCAAAGAGGATCAAATATCACAAACCTATAGACTTCAATTTCTTTTCTCTCTCAAAAATTTGGTGATGAAATGGGAGAATTTATACAGATCGAGAGAGGGGGGGCAGATTCGAGGAGAATTCGATGCTGGTGCTTGTTCTTGCCAGTTGAGCTGATGCTGGTTTTTTTTTTTTTTTTTGTGGGGGGGTGGCCGGGGTTTAGGGCGGGGGCCCATCTGTATGTAGGGAAGCAGAGGAATTAGCGGCGAGAGTACAAAGTCACGTGGATGATGACGCGCTTGAGACCATTACGGCAGGCGACGGCCTAAGAGGGCCGAGTGGGATCCAGATCGAATGTCCACTTTGAGGAAAGCCCATTCGATCTGGACCTTCGTGCGAGCCCAATTTGTTTCGGAATGTTGCGGGAAAGAGAGGTGACTTGACTAGCTATAGAATTTAGAGATTTTGTCAAATTAGACCCTAATTCTTTCTAAATTGTATATGAAACCCCAAATCTCCATATTTCTAATTTAAATTCCTGATACTGTTAAATTTTTTTAGTCAAATCCCACGGTTTAATATTGTCCACATTTTTTTCATAGCGTAGTTAAACTATTGAAATTAATAGATTTCTGTTGTAAATATAAATACAATGAATGTGGACATTACTAGAAGAAGACTCTTCACCTACTTGTGACTTTTAGTATTCTCTTCCACATCTATATAATGTAATCCATTGAAGACAAAATGATGGAGGAGAAATGAAGATGAATAAAATGAGATGATCACTTTCTCCCTATCTCTTTTCTTGTTTATTTACTTTTACATTTCATGTTCGATTCTTACTTTTGATATGTGGTGTATGTAGATACAACAACGAGATTACAACACGTTATCAGCACGAAAGCTCTAGCTATCCGGTACGTAATCGTCCGTTGGTGCTAAGAGATATTTTGGTGTACACCTCTTACGAGTTAATAAAGTGAGCATGATACTCCTTATATACATTTTTCTTTAATTTGTTTTTAATAGTCACAGTTGATTAAAGCTATAGTTATTTGATAATAACCTCCCCCTAGTTCAACTACCGGGACATTTTTGCAGTTATATGTGGATGTTTCTTTTTGTAGAGTTTTGATACAGTTGAAAAACTAGGTTGAGAAATAATCATCAATTGATTGTTCTGATACATTATTTGTGGATAAAATAGAGTAATGTTTAATCATATTAAAATAGCGCAGATGTGACTTAATTCATTTTTCACATACATTTTGTTCATATAAATTATTAAGAAGAAATTGATGGACATTTTCTATTGGTATATTGTTTTAATTCTATACTATGAGATCATTCCTTTTTTCCAACACTAGTTTCAAATGAAGAGATAGTTAAAGATTTCAAGATTGTTTCTACCTTTTCATAATTCTTCTTGGTTTCCTCTGGTTAAGAATTCATGGAATTATATTTTAAAAGCCTGTTTGTGTGACAATCAAGTGATGTTATTATCTGCAATATTAGACATTAAAATAACTTACTTGTGCTTGTGCTTGTTGTCTGGATTTAAAAGAAACTTTGTACTTGGTTATTTTACATTCTACAAAATTAAAAGTAATTTAACATTTATTTTAAGTAAAAACATCATGCCTGTTTGCCTGAAGCAAACCCTGAAAGATGAAAAATATTCATGCATTCCCTCTTTCTGTGATGTAATGGTTACAATTAATTACAATGTGCATAATTATATTAGGAACTCTATCTATTCTTCTCTTATTTATATTGACACTTATATCTTCTATTGCTCAGCATAAAATGTCATGCTTGTATAATGTTTCTAATCCTTGGATGGTGATATTGGAACATAAACTGCACATCCGAAAACATTTATGATGTATTTCATGTTCGACTTTTTCATACTTGATTTTGGTGATTTTGGTGATCTTATTAAAATGTGAATATTTCTAATTTCTCATGTACTAATCTTTCGTCCCCATGATTAGTGCACTGTGATATATGATAGTAATTATTACTTGGCATCGAACGTTCATTTTTTTTACTGGACACACCTGTGATTTTTGCACGATTATATCTCTTGATTCTTTAAGTATCTTTGTCCAGAAGACAAACACTTTAAATTTTTCTCTCTATCAATTAAGACGTGAAAAATTAATACCTCAGTGAAAAAGTATTCACTTTTCTGGGCAATCCCTGAAGGATCGCTTTGATCTATGAAAACCAATTCCCTCAAACGTAACTGGCAGACTGAATCAGAACTTTTTGGATTTCAAATACATGACTAAATATGATTCAGCTCTGTACCAAATTATCTAGCAGCTGAAACTTTATAAGCATAACTGATCAAAAAATTTGTTTCCCTATTCCACGCAAATAATATTGTACTCCAGCAGCAGTACATGACCAAGAATTGCACTTAGCATTCTGAATTGATTAGTAGTTGCAGAGAAACACAATCAATTGATGATTAGAAATCACAATGTCAGACTAGTTGGCTTACGAGTTGTGTTTGTATCACATGCTACAATTCAGAAAATTACTTATACGCGTGGACAAGGGGGAGGCTATGAACATAGTAGGAGATCTTATCCTGTAGCCATTTTTGGATTTTAAACCCTCGACTGAATACAATTCAACAAGTAACCTTGTACTCTTACAATAGTACAACTAAAAATTATATTAAGCATTATGAACTAATCCTTGTATTAGTAGTTGTTAAAAACACAACCAGCTGTTGTGAGAAACCATAATGCAAGTTTAATTGGTTCAGTCGTAGTGCCTGAAGCACATGTCATAATTCAAACTAATATTCATAAGCTTGGACGAGGGGGAGGTAGTGGATCTTATTGAGGTGGTCAAGGTAAACTATTTGGTTTTTCTATATTTGGATTATATGCATTTGTCAGACAATTTTAATTTATCTTGATTTTGCTTTAAACTCTTGTGAACCTATGTGGTTTTTATTCATATGTGTATATTTTAGAATTTGTCTGACCTAAAATACACCATGTTACGATAAGTTTGAGATTTAGGGACCCAAATTCTTTTAAACTCTGGCATGAGCGATTGGGTCATCTTGGGCAAAATATGATTCGTCGGATTTTCTTAAATTAAATGGGGCATTCAAACCAAATCCGACCAACCGTATATCACAATTTTCCCCCTTTATCTAATACGTGGTGAAGAAGCGAAACATTTCCCATCTGCGTATTATTTATTTGCAGTCCATGTTTCTATATCACCACCATAGCGTACCTCTATGGGACCTCGGTGAATGTACATACATTATTTATGAAACTTCGTCAATAATTTAGTACCTATAGCCCATGTTAGGGGATCAATTTACAATTTAGTACGCTGACTGTATTTTTATTAAAGATCAATTCTCGACATTAGGGGGAGATTAGTGCCCAAAATACAAAGATCAATTCTCGACATTAGGGGGAGATTAGTGCCCAAAATACAAAATAATATCAAGAAATTCCATTGGTGAAAAAGATCTTCAATATTTATATCCACGTACTAGTCAAACTGAACCAG